TCTTCATATGTAATTTAAAAGCAAGCTTTTCTTTGTAAAAACTTTAATTGAATTTCAATAAAGTTAAAGGCATGGTCTTATTATTAATATTTAAAAAAAAAAAAAATTTTACTATCATTAGAATCAGAAAGACCTACACTATAATTTTATTTAATAATTAAAATTAGATTACTTAATATAATTTTTTATAAAATTAAATATAAAAAAATTTAGTATTAAGTTTATATATAATTTTAAAATTTTGCTCTCTACTCTTAAGCCATTATATATTTCAAAGTACATCATCTAACTGTAGAGCTTTAGGGAGCCCTTCTACTAACTAATTACTCATATTTAATCTTTTGTTAACAGAGTTCACACTTGCAAAGTTTACTTAGACTCTAGTACTAACTTTATAACATATTTCTAATACTTATAATATATTCCTGCTTCTGATCTCAGACTTTTAATCCAGATAGCCTGATAGGACTATGACCTGTTTCTGGTACTTCAGGATTTGTCTTCCAAGATTCTTTTTCTCCAGTTTGAGACTTCTGGCAACCTGGTTAGTAGTATCTTTCACTTAAGATTCTTGCTTGTCTGATTTCTTCTATATTGGTTTTTGTTTTTTAAATCTAGCCTTTATAGTAATACTGTTAAAGATCTGTATTACCTCTTTACTTGGGTCTTTTCAAGTAGCAGCAAGGAGGGTAAGCAGACTTATATATATAAAAAAAATACTACTGAATCATCTTTATAGGCCTTATAGAGTTCACTATCATATATAAAAAATATATTATTTTTTGCTATTCTATTTGGCTTTAGAATTAGATTAAAAGCTCTATAATTATGGTATAAATTTTTATATACAGGAATTGAATTCTAATGCCTTCTTCTCATTGAGATTGTTAATTTGTTTTCTTAGCTATTTAAACTTTTGTTAACTTTAAGTTTGCTAATTTGTCTTCTTATCTTTCCAAAGCTTGTTAACCTTAAGTTTGCTAATTTGTTTTCTTGTTTTTAAATGTCTTTCTGATTGTAATCCTGATATAAAAAAATAGAATAGGTGTAAATTTTTCAGAATAGATATAAATTTTTTTAAGCTATCTTCTGCTAATTGAAAAATTGAAAGAGGATAATTAATTATTATTTGAACAAAAGTTTTTGTACTATTAATACAAAGAACTAAATTGATTCACTTACTATCAAAAATAGTACTCCAATGTTCTTAATATAGAAAGAATGATTTTAAAAAGACTTGTGATTTAACAAATTATCTTAACAGAAAATTTAAGTGCAAGCAAACCCAAATACCCAACCCAGTTTATCTACCTAACCCTAATATATCCAGATCTCAATTGCCAGCATCTAATCCTTCATCTTCTGTAGTCTATGTTTGTGAAAAGAAAGAATCCAAAAGAGGCCAAACAATATATTTATCTATAGAGAATTTGGCTAACTGGCTTGTGAATCCTAAAATAAAAAATAACCCAACTATTATTAATAAAAAGGTTCCAAAAACAAATATAGAATGGTTTAATTTAATGAAAAAGTCTTTTAGTAAATGGCAAAAGAAAACCAAAGTATTCCAACCAATAGAAGAAGATTCTGAAGCAGAATTTGGCCTGACTACTCAAGTATACAGAAAAAGGCAAAGAAAAGACCAGAGGAAGGAAACTCCAACTTCTGAAACCATTGACCAAAGAAATGAGTCTGAAAAAGATCCAAAAGATTTAGGTAAAAAAGTACCTTGGCTGGTTTCATTTCCAGATAAAGAATGGCATCTAAAAGTATAGCAAAAGGGTATTTAGATAGCAAATGATATGTTTAAAGTAGATGGTGCTGAATATGCTTTTTCAACCTGGTTTGTAAAAATAGAATTCAAAAAATATGAAGCTAAGATGACCAAAGAGTAAGCCCAAGAAATTTTAAATGCAATTGACAATAGTAAGTTCTTAATAAGAGTAAAATTTATTAGAAATGATTCTGTATATGAAGATGAATCTTAAACAAAGATCACTTTTAAAATTATTGATAAATATAAGCCTATTCATAAATCAAAAAAGGCAGATGGAAAATACATCAAGGGTGGCCCCAATGTTATACTTACAAAGAAAATAAAACCAGGATTTTGGGTAGGAATAGATGAAAAATTTCTGGTCAAAGAAGTCAGTGAGCAATCTGAAGTAGAAAAACTTAATAGCAATGCAGTAGTTTATGGATTATATCAAATCTGAAAGCCAGATGTCAATTGATTAATGCCTATAAAGGATGGTACACTTAACTGTGTAGCTAAATGAGTAATAAAGCATTTTGATCAAGCCAAAAAAGAACATGGACTCACAAAAATTTGTCAGCAAAAAATAAATAATTGGGAGAAAAAAATACATATTCCAGATGCTTGAGTATGTGATGTAGCAGAGTTAAAAAAAATTCTCAAGTGACCAATTACATTATTTGATATTACTTATAGTATTATCTTTAATAGCAAAAAATACCAATCAGGTAAGTATGAAGAAATAGAGATGATAGTTTATAATGGTCATGCATTTCCAAGAAACTAGCATTTTTCAAGAGATCGAATGGTTAAATATTATAAAAGTGATACTTAAGAAGCTATCAATAATATTCTTCAAAGTTCTCAAGCAATCTGGCTTATAGGAGTGAGAGATGAAACCCAAAGCATATCCCAATTTGTTCTAGAAGATGGTTGCATATTTAAAACATAGAAAAAACATATAAAAATTATAGAACCATGCAAACAATTAGTTAATAATGCAATAAATTGACAATATCAAGAGAACATAATTAATGAAGAAAAAAAGATTGATTCTTTTAAAGTCTCTCAAAGTAGTTGATTTAGCAAAACAGGTATTTGGTGCAAATCATGCTAGAAGTCAATTGGCCAATAAGATTAATGAGTGGTATCCAATATCTGAAAAAATAAATAATGATATAAAACAAGCCTGTATTAAACATAGGCATGGTGGATGCTGGAACACACCCAATTATCATATTAATGATATCATATGTATTGATATGAAAGAATGCTATCTAGCAAGTATGCAAGGCCAAGGAGAATATGCACTATGGTTTAATTGATTTGGACATTCAACACATCATCTTGTCTGAGTTGCAGTAAATAGAAAATTGTTTCAAGATAATATTACTGAATTTGCACAGGTAAATTCTTTTAAGTTCACTTCTAACATATATCCAGTAATTTCAGTTTGGTATAGAAAACATTTTGCATATTGTAGTAGAGAAGGATGCATTAAAAATAAAGATGAGCTCCAATACTATTATTACAATATCTTTTTAAAACCAGTATTCTAGAAGACTTAACTATTGGGAAGGCAATTATCTCTCTTGCATGGCAGACTAAAGTATGTTTATCAAAAAATCGAAATATTAGTTATGCAATTATAGATAAGTTTATACAGAGTAGAAAAAATGAAAAAAAAGACTTATTCATCATTTTGTAATAGATAAAAGTGAACTTGATTTCTTAATAAAAGGTTGTACAAATGCTAAAACTTTTGCTAGAAGAGAAAGATGTCTACTTGGATTTATACTTACATATTTTGAGAGTCATCAGCCTTAGTATACACATTTGTAGGCTTCAAAGTTAGCATATATGCATATTAATTTGTTAGAGATGCTTCAGAGATTCGATCCTAATGAAGTAATAAGAATTGCTACAGATTCTATATATGTATAAAAAAAGACATTATATAAAATTGAAAATATACCAGCATTCTTCAACCAAGTTGAGGTAAAGTCAGATCCAAATTTATGTTCACACTATCCTTCTTGTGCAATGTATAGTGATCCAGAAGAATTTCTTATTTCAAAATCAGAATATGCAAAATGAATTAAAGAGTTTCTAAAAACAAAAAGACCTCTAGTAAAATATGAATGTAAAAGGTATACTCTGTTTGTTTGCAGATTTTGCTTTGGGGAATGGTTTTATAAATCAGATTCTTGTCAGAAGCAGTTAAATCAGCAAGAAGAACAAGAGGTTCGAGAAATTCAACCTGGTCAATGATGTGATAAGGGTGAAAAAATATATAGACCAGTTGCTGATATTGTATACTAGCCAAAGAATAGGCATTGGGAATTGATCAAAGATATTTCAGATAGTACAGCTCTATCAATTCATGATCCTATTACAAAATATCAAAAATCATATCTTAATAGAGAAGAAGGATCTGGTAAAACAATATGAGCAATTAGAATTTTTAAAGACATAAATATAATTATTTTTACTCATATGAATGCATTAGCTAAAGATTTTCAAGAAAAATATAATGTAAAAGCTCAAACCTGGCATAGCTTCTTTAAATAGAATAAAGTGGGAGAGTGAACACCTGAACATATGGGAGAGAAGAAATTTCTATGAGTTGTTATTTGGAATGAAATATGTACAGTTTCTAAGCATATTTTTGAAATTTTTATTAATTATTTGTTAGAACATAAATGTCAGGTAATTTGTTATGGTGATGATGCACAACCTTTACTATTCTTTAGAGAAATGCCACATAATTAGTTAAAAGAGCATGTTGATTATTATGAAGAAGTTTTAACTGATTATCATGCAAAATGTTCTAAATTACGTGAATTCAAAAAAGCTATACATCGATAAAATAATCGAATACAATCAAAATTATTTTGAGGAATTCTTTCAACTATAGAAAAATGGGAACATCTCGAAAAGAAATAGACTCTCTCAGATCACATATTATTAGCACATATACTTTCTCAAAGAATTGCTTTCCAAAAATGTTTAGAACTTCATCAAATAAAATATTCTGAAATTCCAATCCTATTAATTTATAGGCCAAGAGATGAACGCAAACAAAACTGTCTTGTTTAGATCTCTGGCCCATCTGAAAAGAAGAAGTTAGTAAAAAATAACATAGTATACTTATCTTTAAATACACTTCCTAACAAATTTTTAAAAGATATATTGGCAGATAAAAAAGTCATAAATTGAGAACTTGGATATGCTATGACTATTCATACTAGTCAAGAGATAACTCTTAAGTCACTACAGTGTATTTAGATTATTAATAAAAACTTAGTCTGAGATAATCTAATATATTTGGCAGTTGGTTGTGTAGAATATTTAAACCAACCCCCAAGTGGCAGGTCCAGAGTTCAAATCCCAGTGTTGACGGAAAATTTGAAAATCCTTACTGTATTACAGTTAACTGTCTCTCGCAATTGGTTGGGATAAGATACCTGTAACCTGTGTCATACCAGCATGACTGGCAGGTCACATGGCATTTGTGTAATGGTCACATGACATTGTCCTTTGGGACAAGGTCTGTAGTT